TAGTTTTCTCAAAGCATCTCAGTTTTGCCTCTGCTTTCGCGTTCAGTATAATGCTTGAACATAATTCACAAGGTTTTTCAGACTGTCTGTTCTCACGTCCTTATTTTTACTGTCTCTTGAGGTAACGCTTAGTAACAGTCTTCTCAACTACAATATTTCTCTTCTGTTGCTGACTTTTACCAAATGTATTAACCACTTTGTGCAGATACCTGGAAATGAGATTACCATTTCTTTGTTGCCAGATTAGTCACACCTCAGAATAAACAAGGTGTTATTCAGTTTAAATGTTAAATAATAACATTACCTAGACTATTAGAGATCAAAAATGTTGGTGTTTGTAATTTCACAAATCACACTTAAAAACTAAAGAGTGGATATTACTTCTGAAAAGATTTCTCCTTGTCCCTTACCTCCTCAGCGTGGTGAGTAGACCCAAGGAGTGGAATTCTGGATAGGATGACGCAAGTAAGAGGGCAGTGCCTCTCTCCATCTGGGGGGAACGGCAGGTTGTTGAAGCCATCCCTGCTGGTTTTGTCTCATGAGCTTGCAGGTGGGGTGCTCAGAGCAGCAGAGCATCTTCCCCTTCCCCAGAAAAGCGCTTTCCCAAATCTTTTGCCCTGCAAAGGCACCATGAGGGGTACTATGCTAGTTTTGCTCCCCAGTTGTGTCTTGGTAGCTTACCTTGGGAAAAAATTAAGGAACTTTGAGAGGTGCTTCCCTGAAAACTGAGTATGGCCTTTGCAAGTAGAAGATGGCTCTGTTTTCTGGGGAGTTACGTACCATGGTGCTGCCCAGCCTGAATCAGAACGGTGCAAAGCGGGATGTTGTCTGAGGCCTTCAGCTCTTCTCTTCCGCCATCTCGCTTCAGTTATTAGACAGGACCACTCTGGCAGCTATGCACGGGGATATTAATGCAATAAAATTCCTTGGATCTCACGCTGAACTCATCATTTCTTGCAAATACACATTCCCAGTCAGTGGGATACCCAGCTGACTCCTCAATCCGTTACATTATACAACACACACGTTCATTCTGAACAGGGAACTCGGAGAACAAACTGTTTTATTTGCATTTCAGGAGCCTATTGTAAGCGGCAGCCAAAACTGGAGAACATGTGTGTCTGTGTGTGGTGTTCTGGGCTTTTGTTTGTCTTTTTTAGTATTGGTTGTAATTTAAAGGCAGAGTTTATAACATTTGTGGCAGGAAGAAAGTTTTAGTTCCTAAGTTATTGTTTACACACAGTTCAGTTTCATTTGAAAACATCTGTCTCCTGGATGAGTAAGTACAAGCCAAATGATGTAAGGCAGCATAGCTGAACTGTTACACAAATAAGATTTCTTAAATATGTATTAATTTTCAGTTGAGCCAGGGTTGCCTACAGGCCTTGCAATCTACCATAAAATGGATAATCTGTTCCTGTGTGCTTATGTTGCTTGGCACCGTAGGGTTTCTAGATGATACCATCATAAAAATACTCATCAATAATATGCAGTACCTTCCGACATAGATCACAGGCCTCATTGTCCAGCAGCTTTTCGAATGCTGAAATGTGAAACCAGAACAAAAGTATTTCCCAGTTAATGACGAACTCGATGGGTGTAAGGGCAGACCAGCATTACTGGCTTCTCTGCCTCGTGCAAGGTGTGGTCACGTCTTGCCTGCTTCCAAAATATTTGGCAAATGTCTTGCTTGTTTTCTGCTTCAGCTTAATTCTTCTCAGGGCCCTCCCTTTGAGGGACTGATTTTTGTCAGAGATGTATGAAACTGTTTTCCTTTAATACAGTGTTCTTACAATCATGACCCTGGAGAACGACACAAGGAGGATATGCGTGGTTAAACGTTAATGATCCCACTTGGAAAAGCACTGCTGTTTATAACTTCAAATTGTGGACGTTTGAAGGCTTAGGTTCCTGCCCAGTTCTCGGTTGCCTTTTTGTCTATGTTCTTGACCAATCTTGCACAGCCACCTGCATCTGCTTGTGCCCAGTACTGCTCAGCAAAGTCTAGCTCTGAATGTAAAGCAGCTATGGATGTTGCCTGCTCGAGGAGAACAGCTGCTTTACTCTCTGTATTTCTGTCAGCGTGGTGGCACAGCGACCTGGAGGAACTACTACTTTTTTCTTTGTCATTGCGCATGTCCAGAGCGGATTTAGAGGCAAGTCACTATCTCTAGAAAGGCACAAATGGACTATAATCTTAATATATGGCCATGCAGTTCCCAGGATCCACCCCCTGCCTAGCTCCTGGATGTTGGCAGAGATCCTCTCGACTTCGAGCGATGGAACAAGGGACAGATTTATTGCGGTCTTCCTTCTTGTTGCTCTGAATTCATTTACCTAACTTAATATGCAGATGCAGAACTATTTCATTGTTGACAAAAGACAGAATTATCATTGTTAAGACGAATCTTCTTTTATCTTAATTCAGGCAGCCTCAAATACAGTCATGTTATTCCACAGGTAACATGGAAAAGCCATGAGGAACAGAATAGACCTTCTTAACAAGGTGCAAAATCGGGCTTATTTGCTGCTTAGAACTGAGGAGAATCTAGGGGATCCTGACTGTAATGGCAGTTACTGATGGAAACAATTCAACGATGGAGTTCAGCCTGAGTAGTTCTGCGGACCTGTGTTTGTCCAAAACGTTCTCTTCTCCTTTTTCAGGTAACTTGTGCCACATCAGGACTCAAATACTGCATTGAGTTTTTCTGTTTGGTTTGGCTCTTCTTAGTTATTTGTTGCTGCTTGGCAATATACAACCAACCAAAGGTGCAAGAGGAAAGGAAATAAACATCAAGCACATACCCTTTCTGGAAGGGACAGTTTAAAATACTTTTTCTGCTTTATATGTTCTGGTTCTGCATAATCCATTTTCTCTCTGTTCTGACTCGAGAGCCTATCCCCTGCCCCATTCAGCCTCTTCAGCACTATTTGTCTTCTACTCTCAGATGTTTCCCTTCTTGACTGCCCTGTCACCTGTACCTTACTCCTCGAACTCCAGTTGTTTTCCTTGTTTGCTTCCTTAGTAGATCCCTTCTAGCAGCGACAGCAGCATGAGCACAGCACTACCTGATGAGCATCAGATATGGATGTCACTCCACGTCTCCTCTAAAGCGCTTCTCGTGGACACAAAACAAATCTGTGGCTTTGGATTTTGTACAGCCACGTGCCAAGACCTCTTTGCAATGCACATGCACCACTAATGCCCGTTTTTTGCTGTCACAGATGCTATTTCCGTGATGTTGGCACAACTGAAATTCTTGACTGTTGACATAACTCTCCACCATGCACAATCGTTAGCTTAACTGGCTGATGCTTTTCCATTTTCAGCACTAAACAATATTTTGGGGCCAAACTGCCCTCAGCCATGAATGTCCTCAGCCAGACTTCAAAGTAATATATTCTGCAGTGTGATTGAAAATATGACATGTGAAGTGCTACTGATTATTCTAGAAGTGTCCTACCAGGGCTGCACTCTCTCTTCTTCGCCTACTGATCTAATCCCATTCTTCAGGCATTCTACTTGGTATTGCCTCCCCAGCTTTAATGTCTGCATACCAAGGAAGGAGGGTGCCCTCTGCGTGCTGGACGCAGCCTCCTGGTCCATATGGCTGGAGAACACTGACTTACCGAGAAAGATGCTCTTCTCTGTTGTGAGGTCTGTCGTTTGCAGTTTGTCTCTCCTAGGATCCAGATTCCTTTACTAATTCCTGTAAGAGTAGAGCAGAGCTTGGTACTTCCCATCGGTGGCAACGTGAGGTGTTCCTACTTTGACCTTGAGGCCCTTCAGACCTTAGCAAGTCCTACCCTGAGACATTTTGAGAGCGCTCAGTGCAAACAGACGTGCTGCGAGTGACTGGCCTGTCTTACCTGCTGTCAGCACCTGTTTTTACAGTGCAGAAGGAAATTCTTTTCTCCCTCTGACCCCAAATCTTTTGGGAATGATACTTACATGCTGTCTTACCACTCTAGAGTCTTATCATTGCAGGTATCTGGTCAGTCGTGTCTGTGATCCAGTTTGCCATTGGTTCAACTCAGAAATGCTTTCTAGACGTTTTTCTCATAAAAGTTCACTTAAAAATCTACATGCAATTACTGCATGAGGCTATAAAGCACATTAAAAGAACAGTGTCTCACCGAGGTGACTTGTACCAAAACAGAACGCCAGATGGCTTCCCAGCCTGGACCTGTGTAAGATGGACAGTAACTCTGGCAAAAAGCACGCTGCTGGTGGGCCAGGATGGACATGGCTTGTGGTTCTTGACCCTTAGGACACCTATGAAAGCATCCTATGCAAACAGCCAGGGTCATTGAAAGCATTTTAAGTTCAGATAAGAGAGATGGGTAATTTCCTCCCTGCCCTTACATTTATTTAGGTTTTTTTCCCCCCTAGGCGTTGCTAACTAATGACTGCGTGGCAGTCTGTGGGAAGTACCTTGGGAGACACAGCCCATTGCCTTGCAGTTTTTACCTGATGTTTCCAGCTTCCTGGGGTCTTTTTACAGAACGCTGAGCAGCCTGCCTTGTTTGAACAGACTGACAGTTAATGCAACTGGAGTATAAAAACGTCTTTATCAAGTTACCAGAGCTGCTTCCTGTTTACCTGAATTCCATCTGGAGAAAACGTCGATCTGGCCCTTAGAGGAAGCAACCGCTGTCCCATTCTTCAGGTTTGCCTGCCCTCTGCTGCCCTCTCGGGCAACTTCATGGGATGTGGAAGAACGTAAGGCTCTCTGTTGCAGCTGTTTCGTTATGCATTTCATGGAGACTTTCATAATACACAAATATAAATTAAAATATATATGGAAATTAGAACGTACCTTGACATAGTGTTACTGGAGCTACAGATTCAGAGTTAATTCCTAGTGTGGTAAAAATTATGTATTAGCAATGACAGACACAAAAGTTGCACACACAGATGACTGATCTTCATTAGGGCTTAAATTACATCACATAAGTGTGTACTTCTGAGGTTGCATGTTTGCTGTGCTTTATTTCAGGAAGGCTTTTCATTAATTGATTCCCACAAGTGGTTAAAGATAGTAAGAAGAGCAGAGTGCCTGCTGCTTCGGGCACAGCCAAAGGTAAGTCGAGTTGCTTTTAATATTTCTAAGAGCTAACACAATTCTGTGCAAGATATTGGATAAATTAAACCAGAAGTTCTGAGATACTGTAAATTCTTTATGTAAATTTTTTTTTCCCTCTAGATGTAAAACAAGAATGGATTGAATCATCTTAATGTCTTTTGTAACTGCTAATATTGAGATGCTTTCTGAGAGTTAGCTACTAAAACAACTACCTGTGACTCATCCCTCACTTTGGCAAGCAAAGTACCTAAACAAACAATTATTTAGCCATTTGCTGGCCCCTGGCACAGTAGTGGCAGGCTGGTGATTCAGGCATTTGGTATTCAAGGCAAGGAAAAGGACGTAGGTTTCTGGTCTTCCCCTCACATCTCATGAAGGTGGTTGCTTAGTCTTTAAATAATTAAACAGCACTTGCTTGTTACCAGCTCACATATAAACATCTGTTTTCTTGGTTCTTAGGTGAACTTGGAGAAGTTTCTTCTTCATCTATGCTGAGCACTCACTAGGTTTTCAGAAACAAACCCTGTTTCAAAACAAGACCCCCTCTTCCTTCTCCCCTGACACTTTCTAGGCTTTGTTGTTCCAGCAGAAACAGCTGCCTCCAGTTTAACTCTCTCTACTTGACAAGGGAATTCATCTGCAAGTTAGAAACGGGAGTCCTGGAAAAAGATGATGAGCCCCTTGTTCAGTAGCTGCTAGACACCAGTGCTCACTCTTTGCCCCGTTCACAGAACTATTAAAGCATAAAAACGTCTCAAGTATTCTGAGCTGTTCTGGCATTCTCCTCTGGCAGGAACTCTTGTGGGAGATACAGACTGGGTTATTGTAATTGCAGGTAATAACAATACCCAGAGTAGCTGAAAACTGTAAAAATTCCTGTTCAGTTGTATTTTGATCTTTTATCCGATTATTTTTTTTATGAAAGATGCATAAATATTTCTTTATAGGAGGTTACAAACCAAACAATACAGCTTGCAGAGGGGAGAATGCCTTGCTAATTGCAAGATAAAAGCAGATGTGAGGCATAATAAACACTGTTTAAATGTAAGGACTCGTTTCAGACTAAGCCTTGTCTAACGGTGGCACTGGGAACTATATAAATAAGTGCCTTGAAGTGTTTTAAATTCAGGGGTTATGCTTGCCTGAAACCGAAACATCTTTGCGCTCTGCTTTTTGTCGGATTCCTGCAAAGCGGGGAGTATCGCTGAAGACGACTGTGGAGCTGTTGCAGTAATTAGTTCTGATGAATCAGGGGATGATCAGTTTCCCTTACAGTTAACACAACAGTTCCCCAGCGCAGCGTTAAGGGATTCTGCTGCATCTCACACAAAACGCAAAAATCAACATCACAATCACTCCGAGGCTCGAATAAAGCTCGGAGGGACAGCTCAGAAAGGAGGAATATTAACATGGTCTTAATGAATTTGGTGTATCTAAATTACTTACCATAAATTCACGACTTAAACTGGGTTTAGTGGCACTGCACTAGTCCTATCATACACTTTCTCTGCTTTGTATCTTAAATTGTAGCCGAAATGATTCCTTAAATGCTGTCAGTGTATATAGCTTCTGTGCTAACCTTCAAAAATATGTAAAAAAACCTCAAGCCAGCCACACCGTGTAAGGGGTTACGTCTGAGCCCTGCTAGACTTCAGCAAGGAAAGAGTCAAGCAGAAGCCATTTAAGTGGAGGAAAGCAAGCTAGGTCTTCAAAAACCAACTTCTATCTCGAGGTGTGCAGGGCACCTAAGGAGCACAGGCAACTAAATACTCCACTGTTGTTTCTGAGTTGTCTTCTACTCCTTGGTTTTTGTATGTCATTAATATTGCATTTATAGCGAAACTTAGTCATTTCTTAAGAAAGATGATTTTAATAGGGCACTGTGGGCTCTTAGCTAGCAGAATGAGTTTCTGAACTATATTTTGAGCAGCTTAGCATTAATATACTTGAAGGAACAAGACATGTAGAGAAGGTACCTGTTGGGAATCGCTGTTGAAACTCAGCTGTACTAATGGAAATTTTATTCAGTGAAGCACACGAGCGTCTAGTTCTGAAGCTGTACCTGTCATATAAAACTTTTTTTATATGAAAAATCTGTAAACAGTAGCAAGGCAAACGTTCTAAATATTCTTGTAGTAAGTCATTCCCCTTCCTACTGTTTTCATTGAGCTCGGCCCCCCCCACCCCAATTTGATGATCCAAGTGACCTCAAGGTTCTTTAATACTTCAGCTCTTGGATGGTTCAGGGGTTACTACTTAGTACTCAGTTTATGCTAAAACCTGACATCATCTTAGCTGAATTGGAGCGAGCTCTCTCTTTCCAGAAAGGAAAAATGTTTAATTTACAAAGTCTACTGTTGTTTGTAAACTGCAGTCTGAGCTATTTAACAGTCCTTGTTAAAAAGCAGATGGCAATACAAACAGCTCAGACTCGGGGGCTGTAGGGGTAAGTAAAACAAGCCTTCTTTGAAAGTCTCCAAAAGGAATTCAAATGAAGATGCAAGTTACCTTTCTGTCATTTTAATGAGAACTCACCTGTCTGGCATATCCACAAATCGCTTCTCAGTTGTGTGAAGCTGACCCCGTTAAGTTGACATCTTAGTTAATTAGAGGAAATGTAACTGGACACTGGTAAAATGAGTGCTACAGTTCAAATTATTTTGACATGTTTCCCTTTAAAAGGCACTGAGACAAGCTTTTATGCTCACAGTGCCCTAAAAAGCATTAGGCAACACAAGCATCTTAAAATAACATGCATGTAAACATACAGGCTGTCATGAAGAGCTGGCTCATCTTTGAGACAAAAATCTTTAAAGTGAAAGATGTCTGTGTGTGTGTAATCAGCAGTCTAGCAGCGTGTCTAGTCATCAAAAAAATGGTTTTGACAGTGAAATCTCAGAAGGATGAAGACTCAAATCGGTTAGGTCAGTCTGAGGAAAACGTGCTTCTCTTCTAGTGCTTTTAACTGTTTGAAATGTCAAGATCAAAGTGAAAGTTCCCATTAATTCAGTCCCTAAACAAGAGCATGTATGTGCCTTACGTCAGCTGAGTGTGCTCAGGACAAGCTTATCGTGCACAACAGGCTCTTCAGCCCTCCATTTCCAGGGCAGTTTGCTGGACCTCACGTACTTAAAAAAACATCTGTTATGGTACAGCCCGACAATCTATACTGGGGGTCAGTCCTATCCAGATTTCTGTTTTCTGTATTCTTTCACTATTTAAAGTGATGCATCTGAGTTTCTTGCACTCCTGGTCAACTGTGTTCACCTCTGTTCAAGGCACAGCAGCATTCCGTTGGGCTGCCAAGCTGAATTTGTACGTTTAGCAACGCACAGGCGCACCGGGGAGGTAGGGGAGGCTGGGTTTGATGCAGACAGCAATGTAAATCCTAAATGGAACGTATAGTTCCCAGAACTTCCAGTTTAGATTCCAAAATTAACTTCCGCTTACTGTAGCGTCATTTTACTTTTTGTCACAAATAACTGCTCAGAGTTGGCACATCCTTAGAGGATACTACTTGCAGCAACAATAAGAACTGAATTTCCCTGCTGTACGTCCAAAACTCCGGTCGTTGTGGCAAGGTTTGTTCACTCGGCTGGACCTTTAATTAGTTGACAATTGGCCCTGTTGACTTACCATTTTTGTGGGTTTTTAAACTGATTTTCAAACTGGGAATCATACTTTTGTGGTTTAGCTGCTGGGATAAATGAAGATACAGCAGGGAAAACTTGTTTCTTTGTGTATCAGTTGGTGTATATCAGTGATCCAAAAATTAAATCCCCTTCTTCCCAATTATAACAAGTAGAAATTTAATTAAATCGAAATGGTTTGAGGGGATTCACAGTTAATTTGATTTCTCTTTGGGTTTTGAGCAGAATGAATGCCACATGTTTCGGATCCAGTTTGGTGGCGATTCCAAAGAACAGATGCTGGAACACTGCTGCAGTTGTGTTCAGAAGCTTGCGGAGTACGTACCGGTTGAAGTAACTGATGAACAAAGCCAGCAGCTCTACCACAGTCTCACTCAGCTGGCCAACGGTGAAAATCAAGCGAAGGACACTGAACAAAGCACATCAGTACTACACATAGTAAGTATGCAAGAGCAGAGAGACAGAAAAATAATAATAATAATTAAAAAAAAGTAACACAGGCAGACACAGGAAATCACTAACCACTAAAAGAAACAGCAGCAAGCGTTACTTACCAGTTCCCAGTATGATGGGGGTATGGTTTGGTGAAAGACTTAGTTGCTTTCTGCTGAGGTTAATAAAGAAGAATAGGGAGCAGAAGATGAGTGCTGAATAGTTACCAAAAACACCCACATCTACAATTTCATCAGTGTGGATTTCGGCTAAGACTGCTGGGAACCACCTGGCAGACTTTCAAAGAAATTATATGGGGTAAGAAAACAGATCAGATCCATTTAAGTAACCACGAATTGTGTTCTCCTTTCGCGTTGACCTACTCCTGTTTTGCAGCGTTAATAACTGTAAATATGTAATTGTATTAATTCAAGCTTAACCTGGCACGTTTAAAAGTTATTTTGGGGCAGGAACAGAGCGTTTCCCCTCTCCAAGACAAAGACCTTAAGTAATTGGAAAAGGCAAAGGCAGGCAGTATTTCTGAGGGTGACTAATTCTTAAATAGATGCTCTCTTGGGTATCCAGAGGATCACATTTACCAGCTCTAAAAAAAACATCTCTGCAGCTCGTTCAGCCAGGATAGCTCTTGGGTACATGATAAAAATATCAGGACCAAGGCTGAGCCCTGAAAAAGGAGTGTCAAAACTTTTGGCTACATCATTTTCATGATGTAATCGAGGAAAGTTCTACTCTACAGGACAGCGGGAGCCAATTTAGTAGAGAAAGTGCAGGGGGAAAAAAAAATATTGCTCATTTGACTCACATCATTTCCAGGAGACCTTCCAGATGAACTTCCAAGATGTATTGTTTGTTCTTGAAGCAGGTTACCTGTACTGGGGGCTCTGCTCCTTTCCCAGTAAGCTAAAGCAAAGAATGAAAGGTACAGGAAGTGTTTCATGGCAGGGTGCTATTGAACACCAACAGTCACACTACAGGTACAAATAAAGCTCTTGCTTCACAAGTTAAGACTGAAAACCTTGCTCAGAAGAGAAAATTGACAACTTAAACCCTCTTTTCAGTGGTGTGACTGATGGGAAGGAAAAAAGCATTCTCCTTGTGAGCATCCGCTTTTTAAGGTTACTTCCAGCAGGGAGTTTAAAAATTCTCTTCGTTTAGACATGACAGTTTAAACTGCAGGCCCGTTATTTCACGTCTTTCACTCTTAAAGACTCGAGCAGATGTGCGTTCAGGTTCCATAAAAAGATGCCTTTTTTCTGCACAAGGTGGCTGAGCACATTCTCTTCCCCTTATCTCTAAAAACGGAACTGCTTCCCTGCTTGCACATACCCACACTCTGCCTGGTAACGAGCCCTTATTTGCATTTGGTATTTTCTAGCCAGATGAGCCTCTACCAGATTCCTGTACAAGCTCTGGAGAAAGAAGATCTGTAACACAGCTAGCGCAGGTAAAAAAAATAATAAAAAATAGTGTTTAGTCCTGTCAGTGAACCTCTTGGGCACGGAGAAAGTATCTGCCAGCGGCTGGTAAATGTCTTTGCTGAGCATCAGGATCAACAAAACCACAGGATCTCCTGTAAGGATCTGGAGGCAGGAAATAAGCTGCAAACCCAGGTATTTCGTCGTGGTGTAATTACCTCATTTGCAGAAGAACAAATCACGCACTGAGAGCAAACAAACACCCAGAGGTGCCAGCCAAATAAATGGCTTTGTCACTCTTTTGACTCCTCAGAAGTGACCTCTGTGGTCACAGCTGCTTAAGTCTGAAAACATCAGTCACCCTTTGACCCACAGTTCAATTGACAGCTTCTCTGAGAAGTCCAGGGTAAAGCCCTATTTAAAAATAACTGGAAGTTAAACTGTTAATTTGGGACTGGGCCGAATCAGATGACTTGAAGACTCTGCTCCTTCCAACCTCTGGTTTTGTGCCGTTGCTCCTATGGGTCTTTCTTACCCTTTTCCATATTCACAGGATGACGAAGTCACTGGTTTTTCACATCGGTGGTACGAGGGACAGTTCCTCTGTTCCTTATTACAAATCAGCCACCTCTTAAACCCAAAGCAGCCTTTCAAACTCCGCTGTTTTCCGGAAGCGGAGCTCCCTGTCCCCTCCCCTCCGTGGTGAGAGCTGTGTGCCATCCCTGGCTGGCTGATTCCCAGCGTTTTGTCACCTGCCTTGTACAGTGCAGCCAGAGCGCACCAAGGAGCAGAAGCCATCAAACGAGGCAGCTTGCCCTCAGCAACTGTATTTTTCATGACCCATCTCTGTTTTAAGAGGTTACACTGGGAAATGGAAATTACCACCACCACTAGAAACAGCTTACCTTCTACAAACTGTTCTGCAGTCCCTGCGTAAGACAGGAGCATGACACCTGCTTCCAACTAAAGCTTTCTGCCTTAGAGCCCTGTATTTGCTTGAATTACTAAGAAATTCCCCGACACAGAGACTCCTTGATGGAGTAGTTTCCTACACCTTCCCCTACTTGCTCCTCTACCACTTAGCTGGGCACAACCCAGATGGAGAGGTTTGGTTTAGCCCCTGCCCCTCACATCAGCACATCAGGAGGAGGCCCAAGTAGGCACCTGAGGTTTTTTAAAGCCAGATACGGACTGACTAGCACGAGGCGTCCCCTGTAGTAACACCGTTCACCTTGGATCGCCTCTGCACGTCGTACCTACCTCGTCACCACAGCGGCACTTCCATGATTTTCCCACGCAAAGCATCCAGGAAGCATCTGTAACTGATGCTGCAGCTTCGAGGACTTCAGAGACTGGTAAAGTTAAAAGCTGAGTGGGTGGTGAGCTCTACAGAACATTGGCAGCCCCAAACGATGGGAAAACCTTGGTACAAACACTTGGGCATTAACACATACTATGAATAAACCAGTTTGCAACAAGCAGCAGCCCTGGCTGCGGGAGGGCCTTTCAACTGGGAAATTACTCACATCCAGTCCCACCACAGTAAATTTGTCGAGCTGCTTCAGCGTGTTGTCTTAGGAACAGCAGCGTGGAAAGTGCTCGGGAGTCACCCAGTAACCTCCTGGTCCATTAGACTCTGGTGCACCTATGGGTGCCGGGAGGCGGTGGGGGCTGCCCCAACCTCAGCACACCACGTTGGACATCTCCCACTCTGCTGCCACGGGTTTTGCACCGAGAAGTAACATGGTGCACGTAGTTCGCCCACCACCGAGGGGGGGGGAAATGCTGGGGGAGGGGGTTAAAGGGGCATGAAGAGGATGTTGTAGCTCCTAAAAACCCCATAATTTAATTCTATTCTAATAATTTAAAAGGCATCCTGCTAAATGACGAGCTTAGAACCACGTACGTGGTGATCCTTACGCACGTCAGGTGGCAGCACCTACGCTTCACACGGGGTCCTTCCCTCTCACACAGTGGGTACTCAGGAGACTGACATGGCTGATTTAAAGAGTTGCAGAAGAGTTCCAAGTTGTGTCAAAGCTACTGGAATCAAATGGGAAAGATCACGTACAGAAATCCTGTCTGACGGGAAGTGCTCAAACAGCGGCAATAACGGGGCGGATGTGTCGTTATTAATGCTGAGGGGACACGGTGGTGTCGCTGCACTGTCAGCAAACGCGGGTAATGGGACCTTTTGTGTCTAACGTGAGTCAAACACTTTATTTTTTTATTTTTTTTTTTTCCTAACTTTCACAGTCTGTGCTGAAAAAGCCTGAGCTCCACCTTGCGTACCAGCACTCGGCGTGGCCTGCACAGGAGCTGGGGCCCTTCATCCGCTTGTGCCTTATGGATCAGAATTTCCCAGCTTTTGTGGAAGACGTGGAGAAGGAACTGAAAAAACTCACGGAAGGCTGAGAAACACCAGCTCATCACCACCAGAACACGCTCCAGGACATGCAGCAGTTGGGACGCACGAGCTTAAGCACCATTAAATGTCTGAAAAAGTCTTTTTTTTTGTGTCAGTGTTTTATTTTTAAAAACAGGTGAATCCACTTTTTATACATCATTGCACTTCAACAAATACACAGAACACAAGTTCATGCATCTACAGTTACGCACACCATGAGAACCCTGTTCGGTCTATTTCTACAATCTTTAAATCATGAGAAATTACAGTGTCAAACTAAAGAGTAGAACTAGTTGCATAGAATATCACCATGCTGTAACGTTTCATCATTTCAACAACAACAACAAAAAAGAAAATTATAAAAGTTTGCCTGAATTGAATGTACAAGAATATGTTGAACACATCAGTGCAAAAGGATTTGAGAATTTACATGAGTTAACAAAAAAAAAATCACTTAAAAAGCAATCATATATATATATATTTATAAACTGAAGTTTTGTTTTTTGTTTCCAACTGCATTCCACCACCACGTCCGACTGTTCCAGCTTGTGAAGTCTGACTGCAGGACACCCGAGTCTCTCTCTAGAGGTTAAGCCCTTGAGATATTTTCAATTTAAATTACTTCCCTAAGTACCAGAACAGCGCAATTCCCTCGTCTTGCAGACATACAGTAAGGAATGAACATCAGCAGCTTCAAAATGAAACACAATTACTGTTCTTTTTTGGTTTTCCCCCTCCCCCAAAATATAAATATATACTGTATATATATATTTTTTTTTTTAAGTTTTGCTGTACTTTACAAAAAAGTATCACCAGATGGCAGCAGTGCGTTTTAGAGCTTTGCCAATTTTTTTTTTTTTTTTTAACAGCTACAGGAAGTAAAAAATGGCGCATGCGTGAACCGGCTTCCTACTTCTAATGTTTAAATAGATTAAGGAGGAAAAAAAAAAATCAAATCAAATCAAATAAAAAATAATAAAAGCGACATTCACAGCACATCAAGCCCAAAATAGTTTACATCTTCTACACTGAAGCATTATTCAAATTTATCTGGCTAGGTCATCCTTACAGGAGAGGCTAAATAAGGCATGCTTTAGACAGTCATATTGTTGCTCACTTGGAAAGGAAAAAAGAAAAAAAAAATAAGAAAAAATAATAAATCGGACAGAACTGGAGTTCTAGAACCAAGAGTTCCAACCCTTAAATTTAGCAGGTCCTATTGCCATCAGTCTCTCAGAAACTTAAAGCTCTACAAGAGAAACGAGAAAAGGTGCTGGAGTCAATGCCCGGCGGCGCCCCCGACCCCGCGCCACGGGAGCGCCCACGGAGAGACGCTGCTCCCGACCGCGGCTCCGCGGCCAGGTACCACGGAATGAGGATGGGGTTTGGGATTGTTTGTTTGTTTTTTTTTTTTTAATTAGCAATAGTGGTGATTATGGAGAGCTCGACAGCTACTGGATCATTAAATTACCTGCGTATTTTATGACAAAAAAAAAAAATTAATGATCATTTGAGAAGCCCCAGAGCTCCTTGAAGGAGCCGGGGCCGCCCTCGGAGCAGCGGGTAACTTTGACACATGCAACGCGTCCCGTTTCCGCGCCCCAGCCGCGACGGGAAAACGGAGGGCTTTGGCTTCCCAGCTGCCTGCCAGTCATACTTACATGATGAGCGGTTTTAATTTGTGTTTCTCTGGCGTAAGTTTTTATCTTTATGATTGTTTGTAGAATTGGTTTTCCTGGAGAAGGGAAGAATACAGAAAACACACCAAAATCAATCCCAAGCGTAGGGAAAAACGGGCTTGGCACAAGTTGAACAGCGTTTCGTTCTGCCCCTCAACTCCAGCGGCTGAAGACAACGCCACTTTCAGACTGTTTGTACTCCGCCACCTTCTTGCCCCCGTGCTACCCACTCCCTACACACCGTTGTTCTGCTCTCCTGCCTCCTTTTTACAACCAAAGCAGCCGGTTTCTTCCCACCACCACCACTTTTTACAAATATCTTGGCAAAAAAACCCACATCAAATCGGCTACCCCAGGCAGTCAGGGAGACTGCGTGTCGCTTCGGCACGAGTATTTCTTTCTAACTCCCTCCGCAATATTTGGTTTTCCAGGAAATGCCACTCATCGTTACTCTGCTGCTAACAAAAAACCAACCAAAGGGTCCGTTACCATGAGGAAGGTCACACGGAACATCAGTCTTGGGTAAACTCCCCAAAACGCTCAGATTAAGCCCAGTAATATCTTTTTTTTTTTTTTTTCCTTAAAATGCACTTACATTGGCCCAGCTGGTTCATCATCTGCAGCAAAAATTCCGGTGCAATCCAGGGAAAGACAGAGAAAGGGAAAGAAAAGGAGAGTCAGTCTTTGCCCCGTTACGCCCGGCTCAACCGCAAACAGCAAACCGATCTATCTACAGCGTTAAAGGCCATTCCGACTTGGTAGTGCAAAGATTCATGGAGTTATTGTTCTGGATTCGAGTTTTAATGGCGGGGATGTTGCTTCGATGGTTTTTAGTTAACACTTTGGATGCTTGTCATGAAGAACTGCAACTCTAGCGGACAGATTGGTGCAATATGGTCAGGCTCATCTTGTCCCCAAGTTCCAGTGGTTCAATCTCAAAAAATAGATGAGAAGACAAACCAACGTTTCGGTTGTAAAATCCTGCTGGTCGTTTTCTTGCATTGATTTTTTTTTTTATTTTTTTTTTAATATTTATATATTTCTTTTTAGTTTTTTTTAAGCCATTCTTCAACTGCTCATGGGTAACGGTTGGTACAAACACCGCGGGGTATACACACCATACGCTTTATCTTCCCCCACGGATCATACAACCTCTGAACATTCCTTTTTTTTTCTCCACGTCTAATTGGAACGGACCAGGTTAGGAGGAGGCTGCAGGTGTGATACTCGACTCAAGCACCCAAACGCAGCCCTTGGGCACCATGCCTGCGTCCCGCAGAGCGCGGGGCTCAAAGCGCCGGGACAATTCGTCAGGGGCGCTGTAAACCTCCGGACACGACAGACTCCAGCTACGGAAGACTGACGGCATTGTTCTGCCCGTGTCTCTTGGCAAAAAAAAAATTTCTCTTTTAAGAATTGGAAGAAGATCTGCCAATGAGTAATGTTTCACACGAGCTCCTTCGTGACCAATCGAACTTTTTTTTAAGGATAAACCACCTTATTTTGCCCCCAAGCTGCAGTACAGAAGACAGAAGTCGATTTAAACAGCAGTACAAAAATCAATCTGGGAAGTTAACGCTCCTGTAGAAGTATTTTGGGGAGGGAACCAATTCAGGACCTGCTGTTTTCGGCACTCGCCAGTTGCCGTTCCCACCTCGCGCCGGAGGGATTTGTCACTGAAGTCGTTCAGAAACTCTCAGCAGGATTCCACAAGGGTGCTTAGTGCACATGAAGCAGTTATGGAAATTACAGTCTCAACAGTGTAGGCATATCCGCATGAGCACACGCCAGGAGTAATGTCGGTCAGAGGGGACATTACTCCACCTGAACCTTCAAGGCAACGGATAGGCAAAGCCACCGCTAGCACAGACAGTGACCGGAACGAAAAAAAATAAATAGTTCAAAAAAATATAAAAAAAAGAACTAACCACAAACCAAGAGCTTTACAGCCAAAATAACAGACTAGCGACACACCAGTGTCCACAGAAGTCCACTACCAGCCACAGTACACTATCGGACAGGGTACAGAGAACTAGGACTAGTAAGGACGACCAGACATCAATGTGCTGTTGTATATACAGCGGAGATATACAGAGACACATCAGGTACTGGAACACAAAGCACAGTAGAGAAGATCTAGAACTTCCCTCCATCGACATCTTTTGAGTCACAAAAGATCTCAAAGCTCCGCACGCTGACTGGGAAGAGCCTCGGACAGACAGTCCTCCCACCCGCCTCCCCGGAGCAGCACCGCTACCGATGCCGTTCGCCGTTAAGACTCGGTCGTCTCGGCTTTCTAACGAGCATAATCGACGTCTTTGAGAGTTTGTTTGGCTGGACTTCAGAAATATCAAACTGCACCGTGAAGATACAAGCTCTCTCTCGCTATTAAATAACCATTTTTCCTTCTCCTTTAAAATATTTAGATGCTTATTCCAGATAAAGTAGTTTTGTGGGTTTTTTTTAAAAAAAAAAAAAAAAGAAAAAGCTTCACATTTATATCAGGGTCTTTTCCCAAAAAAAGATCCAACAAAAAAGCCTATTTCAATACTTAAGGTGGTGGATCACCACCACTCACCCCTGTCCCATCTACTGCCTAACCGGTGATAAAATAAGACCGAGGACATTTTCTCTCTGCGTTACTATCCTGGTCAGCCATTAAACTGCTGGAAAAGCATCCCCAGCACAGTACAGACAAAGACCGAAACCGTAGCGAAACCAGGGGGCAACAGAACAACAGGAAAAAAAAAAAAAAAAAGAAGTACAAAAATCAGACTAAATAAAGATTAAAAACAGCAAACTGAAATCCAAATTAGTCGTGAACGTGAATGAAGAAGTTTTAAGAGAAAGTGTTAACGTTATGACTTGTGCATTGTATAGACTGAAGCGGGGATTAAACAAACTCCAAAGCATGCAGATCTCTCACTTACCACCATTTTTTTTAAGGGTATGATGCAATTGAAGGGGAGGGGAAAAAAAAAAAAATAAAAAGAAGTCATAGTAACCGACAAATATCAATATAACTCAAAACCTTTATGCCACAAGACCTGCTCTAGTAACCGCTTGTCTCCGGCGGCACGTAAACCTGCGGCCATGGAGAACATCCTCCCAGTGCGCCGCGCCGTTCCGTTCTGCTCCCGGAACGCTGCCCGGTGAGCTGTAATTGCACAATTGACCCCGCCAACCCCCCCCTGTTGCAGGAATTTGGCTTTTTAAGTCGGAGGGGATCTGCAGGCTCCAAAAAACCCCTGTTTATACAACGTGAGATTCAAAAAGCCCACCCCAACCAGCCAAGCCTTGCTTGTGGGGACAGCCACTATCTGCGCAGC